CGAGGGGTGGCGGGGCGGGTCGTACTCGGCGCTAGGCAGCAGGAAGCGGCCGCCGGGCGCGCGCTGCAGCAGGCCCTGGCGCACGGCCCGCTTGAGCGCCAGCAGCACGGTGCCTTCGCCGCCGCCGACGGGCATCTGCTGCACGTTGGCGCGCACCCACTTGGCCACCTCAGGCGCCGCCGAGCCCTGCACCTCCGCCAGCTGCTCCACCGCCTGCACCACCCATTGCACCGCCTCCTGCCACGCAACGAACGCAAGAAACCGGATTAGGTGGCTCAGGGTTGATATTTTGGTTACAATGCCTCTGACCAACCTTTCCACTCTCGACGGTGGCAGGGTTTTCGACTGTAGCTTGTCAGCTAGTTCAAATTCAGTCTCTGCCTGGAGAACTCTAGCGACCAGCTGCTCTCATCGGTAGATTTCCGAGGTTTCTCCGAACAATACCAGGTGAATGCCTGGGCAGTATCCTACCAAACGGGCCACAGGCCTAGCGCGATCTTACCTTCCCCTTCCATGACCCTTTCCTTACTACCTCGTACTTGAGCACATTTACGCTTACACGCACTACTCTGCCACACATTGCGGGAGTTTAGAGCTTTTCCTGACTGTGGTGGTGCCTCTCTGGTGGGAAGTATCTGGTTAGGGTTAATCCTGATAGCCGATTTGCAGGTTGGCGTCTGACCTCACCGTCCAGCAGGGAAATATCACCGCCACCTCCCACAATAAAAATGATGTACTACATTTACGGGAAAACTTAGCAGTTGACGCGCCCGGAATCACTAATTAGTCTGTCGACAGAACACACAAACACATTCGCGCGTTAGCGACATCCAAAACAAACGAAGAGGAAACACAAAAGAGGAATTTTCAATTGAGGAAATACTGTAATTCCAGTCCAAAAAAAAGTCCAGAAAATGTCGAAAATGTTCTGGAGGTTCTATGTAAATTACATCTAGAAATCGCAAGTTCGATTAAATATTCGAGAGGCCACAACAGCAGCCAAACTGATCGTTTAATCCCCCAATATTTAATTGAAATTCAGGATACGATTTACGAGCTAGTATTGATGACAAACCGGTACATGTTTTGAGGAAAAATACTTTTTTGGAAGTAAGGACCACAAAAACATGTAATTTTATTAAAACAGTATACGAGAAGTGTCTTTTAGTTTAAAATTTCTAATTTGTATTAGATTAAGGGAATTTATTTTAAATAAATGAAATAAACCACAACGAAACGTAAATAATAAGATATTTTATATTTAAATATCTCGTTGATAATGAGTAACAACCCTGTTAATACTTTTTCCTTTCGCTGTCAAACATGTTCTGGAGTGCTGAAACATTACATTGATCAAATTTCTTTTCTCAAACTCTTTTATTTGTTTGTGCGTAAACATTACTTTGCATAAGCAATTAAAAACTATAAAACCTGTCTATATTTTTACAAAATTTTCATTTTTAGCACAATTTCTCAAATTAATATCGCCCGATGGTGTGATAAAAGACATTTTGCCAGGCCAATTATTAAAAAGTATCTAAAAAAGTTAAATAATAGCCGTTTGTACCGAATGGTTTGAGTTGGTTCAGAGGGCGGTTCAGGCACACACTCTGGAGAACACACAAACAAGGGAATGACTTGAAAATAAAACTGTCAATATCAGGGACCCCGAAACGTATTAGATAAACCTCTTCAGATCGATTTTTTTAAACAAGTTTGTCTCTATTACTTATTACGGCTGACATATTACTGTCTACCTAAATTAGCTTTACTCTTTCAACTGCATTAAAGAAGAGACTTGGATAGATACGAAAAAGATGGAAGGAAAACTAGTGGAAACAGAACAGTTTAAAACATAATCCATGAAGTGCTGCAAAAGAAGAATTACATATTACGTATACGAGGTAGCGAAAAAAAATTGAAGAGAAAACAGTTCGAGGTTAGTGTGAAAATGCATTACGAGATACATATAATCTTAAAATTATTTGTAAATGTTTTAGAAGCCTCGTAACTAAATTGAGCCAAGAAGATGATTGTATGATTTTGGTTAAGGCTCAACGTATCTTTATAGAATTTTGAGTAGATGACTTCCAAAATATTGCGTTTGGACATGATATTTTTTAACAGTGTAATTTTTATTTGTAGTAATGAAATTACGGCATTATTTTAATACTTTCTTAGATATTTTAAAGAATATAGATTCCATATCGTATGCATCGATTGATATGATAATATTCTTTAAACATTTTCAAATCAGTGAAGAGCCAACCTCTCACTAAAACGTGTCAGTTCATGTTTAGTAGATCTCGTGGTACTCTTCTTTGGCAAAAGTAATATTTTTCTATAGATATTGTTCACCTCCCCGAAAAATTGTCTGTCAACAGAGAAACTCTCTGATGGATAATCGTCTCCTATATTATTTCAGTAGTATACTTGCCGTTTGTGACCCTCACACACAACTAATCTTTATAAATGAGATCTCTAAAGAAAGAAACGTTCATAGAGACGTGACGAATTGCACTTTGACTATAAAAATATGACGTATTTGTTTAAAAAACGCATTCAAATATTCTTGTCAAATGCAACACGCAGCAGTCAGTCAGATATTTCGTTAAATACCTCTTAAACAAAGCGTTTTAGGGTCTTAAAAACTAAACCTTTGAGGCCAAAGCCCTCAACGAAACAATTGTCGCATAATAATCGACAGGATGAGATATTCTTGAACATTCTATTAAATTTTTGCTGGTTCGGCACGATACTACCAATGACACCTACGTTTCAACCCTTGGTGATGGTGGCTATCTTTGTAGCGTCACGCTTAGAAGGCTTAGATTGCTCTATCTTATACTATTTACACATTTTGTGTACACCGTGGTTTGTACAGACTGGAGAGCTTTGTTTGCATAATTATTAATTCAAGATTCGCTCTCGAGACAACAAATAAAAGTATTAGTAATAGTTGCTTCATTCCGATGAAGATGATTTCTTATGCATGTAGTGAAAACATTATTTTAACATTTTGCTGAGATCTAAAAGTGCTGTGTAGCTAATTGTGGAGGGATGTGGGTGTACAGTGAAGAGTGAAGATGTGTCTTGTTAGTTTGTGTTTTACCTGTACCAGTATTTTTGTTATCGGCAGTGATTGTTCTGTCACGTAGCTTTCTGAAACGTAATAAGCTTTTAAAATATTTTTCTATCACGAAAAGTTAATTATCAATGAATTTGAATAATTACTTCAAATATTTTTAAGAAAGTGTTGTGAGTTGTGCCAAGAAATCTCTCGATAATACTTTGAATGAATCTTTATCGAAGATTTATTATCAACATCAACTGCATTGTTTTTTTAAATTTTTGATATTGTGTTAGTACATTGGAAGTTACCTTTTTTATATTTTTAAGCAAATAAATACGTTTCGTTAACAACTTTCCATGCGAGAGTTCCCGCATGGGTACACTAGTATAGTAATATTTGCTGTAAGCAAGTGTGATGGTATGTCATTATATAAGCATTGCAATACGGTGTATTCTCGTTTCGCATCTGTGCTCTCTACACCTCTATTCTGCAGGTGTATTCTCGTTTCGCTCACCAGACCCGTGAATCGTAATGTACCAATTTCCAATTATTTTAATGGCTTAATAAATCAATATAGATGTAAAATGCATTTTTGTTAAGTTGATAATCTCGACTATTTTGGGAATGTTTATTATGATTCGCGTTTAATTATTTTGGCATCGACTCAAAGCAGAAGAACCGCATTTTGTTGTAATTTTTATTATGACTTAGGTTTATATTATCCTATAATATATGCTACCTCTAATGCAATTAAAATATGGACATGTTGAAATGTTTGGTTTTGTACCTATACGTAACATTATATTATTGTCAAGTTATAACCATTCGAATAGCGATTATTTGAAATGACCAAAATTAAAGTTGGTAATATTTTGTAAAGCCTACGCGGTGAGACGAGATTTAGTACCGAACATTACAAATATTGGTCATGAATTGTTTTTAAAAAGAATTCGTAAGGCGAGGAAACAACAAGAGATACGAGAAAAAATATGATTCGTGAATTTTTTGTGTGTTTTCCTGTTTCCGAAAAATTGCTATTCCGGACGCACTAATTTCAAGCAGAAATAAAAGTTTTTTTTTACTTTCTTGCAACTTTTTTTTATCAACACCATGTATTTGAATTAATTCTTATATTAATAAACCATTGAATTTATTTGCAAATTAAATTAAAACTTTTTTCTATTAAATTGTATTGTTATAATACGGTGATGTATTTGGCAGCGCATTAGTTTATAAGATGTAACGTGACTATTGTATGAATTGCATCTTCGTATATTTTCACTTATGACAACTGTTAGGGACTGTAAAATGGTCCTTTTTGAAAATTTAATAATTGACGCAAACCATTACTACTCATTAAAAATGCTTTGGAAGCAAATCATTTATGAAATTGTTTTTCTTAACATTGAAAAATAATCCATTGAGATTTATCACTTTGTCAACAAATCTCTAAGAACCAATGAACAGATATCGTAGTATTTCGCTCTCAATGTTTACTCACGGTTTCTAAGATACTGTTTTGTAAGGTTTTAGGTTAATAAAGGAAACGCAGGAACATAAGAGCACACTACATTTTTTAACAACTACGCCAAGAAACAAGATAGTGTGATTATTTTTAAATAAATCGTTCTTTGTTTGGATCTATTTAATTTATAACCACTTGCCTTGTGGACTTTGGAATCTCTTCGGAGGCGTTTATGAGCTTCCTGTTCCGCGATAGCTCTTTCTCCCACGCCGATCTCCACCGTCACGGGCTTGTTAGGACCTTCCATGGTCGCTGACGTTGCACCGGGTGGTGGGTGCACACACGGGAGTCTGCCTGAGCGAGGCAGAACCCTGCGCCGCGCGAAGGACGGCGACGGTCGCGGTCGCCGCGATGGCGAAATGGTCAGCGCTTCCTCGGCAACGGCCTGGGCCTCCTCGAGGCCACGCAAGGCCTCCTGGCGAGTTCGTTTGTTGGATGGGTGGTCGAGTGACGTGAAGTCGATTCTGGGTTGTACCTATCGATAATCTAAACTACCTGTACCTCACCTAAATCGAAAACGGATATTTTCCGCGCACGTTTTATTATAGCTATCATTTAGCCAGACTCAACCCCAAAATGAGACCAAATGCATTCAAGATGACAACCAGCACTTCAAAATTGGGAAGAGGCTCGTTCAAATTGAGACCAAACATACTGATATCGAGACCCTGTCCGTTCAAATACAGCCGAATCATCTTCATATTGGGAAAATAATATGCAACGCCTTTATTTTCCGATCAACGGCATTAAAATAAAGAAAAATGTAATTAATTGAACAACAAGAAAGGAATGCGAATTAGGAATACATTTTATTGAACAGCAACAGAAAAATAACATTTATTCAATTAATTACACAGTCTTATCAATAAACCACGCAAATGTTTCTGTAAAAATTCTGTGGGCCCTATAATTTCATAATTTTCTTGAAATTTACCTTGAAGTTCCGGTTGATCAGAAGTTGCCAGTATCACGGTTCCTTTAGTATCGACGTCCATCTACACGCCAAATGATTTTCAAGATGATGATGATTTGCATAAAATGCGTAGTTAATATGGCATTGTACAGACTCAAGGATGCTTTATGTTAACGCGAGGGTCGAACGCCCGAGCCTCGTCCTCAATTTGGACACGGGAATCGAAACGACACAACACCGCACGCGTGAACAGTGGCACCGCCAACTTCCCGTTTACTAAAGTTCCTTAAATGCACTACACTACCACACTACCTAAGCCTTATATTTTTCTCAATATAATTAATTCACAATGTTCTTCCGTAATTTTCACCTTTCTCCTTCCACACCATGTTTGCTTTCGTTTTGGTTCTTCTCGCACTTATAAGCAGTAGAGTTTTTACTCCATATGTATTCGCCATGCCTCTCCAATCTTCATTATTGTTAAATAAATCACATATTTGTGGGTTGATTTTTTCTGACTCTGATTTTTTTTAAATACGGCATAAGTAATCAACAGGAAAACTGTCCAAAATAACTAAACAGAACACAACGACAGAACCTGTTTTGGTCAATTAAAACATTTGCATGTCTACTTTTCGTTTAGATATTGTTTATCCTCAATATGAAAATGATACGTCTTAATTTCATTTGTCCCAATGTGAATGAGATTGCATCCAATTTGAGGCGGTTTGTTCCCAATTTGAGAGTGAGTATTCTCGATTTGAATGTGTTCGGTCTCATTTTGAAGTTGAAAAGTATAATAATTAAACTGTGTGGTTTACTTACTCTTTCGTCGACAATTTAATGAAATAAAATCTTACGACGTTCCTCAATGAAATTAGTTTTATTGTTAGATAATCGTACATTTCTTGTCAACAAATCTCAAAATCTCGTCCTTCTATCTGCTATTCACAATTTATCTGTGTGTAGTAAAAGTGAGGGGTGAAAGAACTATATTCGCGTCAATTCGTTTTTACTTTTTCGTATACGTACGTACTATATATGAAGTAATATACGCAGCGTAGAGAAAGTTATGTAATGCTGCACGAAAAAACAGATTTTTGTCAGAAAAACTCACATTGCCTGTTTTGATTTATCGTTTGCCTAGAGCAAGTTAAAACCAATACAGGCTTTTATGCAAAACATTTTGCGGGGATAGGTTTATTTTAAAGTTATTGAAGAATATATACGGTGAAAGTATCATTTTATTCAATACACAGTAAATGATTTGAGAAATCAGATGATATTAAATGTAACATATCTCACCAGCCATTCTGAACAGACATTTATAAAAAAAAACTCCTGCGAAATTCATCCTAACTGGAAGTACTAACTCGCGGCCTAGGAGTTATGCTGTAAAAATCATGCTGTCAGAACTTTTTCTCATGTGGCACGAGAGAACAACACCCTAACTAAAAAATTTGTACCACAAACCATGGTGATATTTCACCCTTGTCGATAATTCACTCTCAATGACAACGTGGACTAATATTCAAATCAGAAATAAAAAAGCAAGGGCGCCGGAGACATTCTAACCTATATTAGGTTTCGCCAGCTTGTGAAATAATGCGAGAGTAAACTTATTAGTAACCATTGTTTTCCTAGAGCAAATACTTAATGCTTCTCTTTCAACTATTTAAAAATAATTATTTAAATGCTCCGTTCACTTTTACAAGCAGCTAGTGTTTATGTATAGATGTAATACATGTTCGACAAGCGACTTGCGCAATCAGACTACCTTAACAGATTTCTGCTGTAGTAACTCGACTAGAGGTTAGTTCTTTCCAAAGAGTCGCGAGAGCGTGGGCTACGCGGAAGAAGACGACTTGACAAACGCCACTTGCGTGCAGTGACTACGCCTGGGATATTGACGATCTCGGAATCGCTAACAACTAACCAACCAACGGAATCGACCGGCTCAGCTTCACTCCGACCCCACTAATCCGACTCTACCCTTCCCGATCCGACCCGACCCGACCCGACCCGATTCGACCCGATCCGACCCGATCTGACCCAACCCGATCCGATCCGATCCGATCCGACCCGACTCGACCCGATCCTACCAGAGCCGATCTGACTCGACCCGATTCGGCCTGATCCGACCCGATCCGATCCGATCCGACCCGATCCGATCCGACTCAAGCCACCTCGCCGCGCCCCGCTCAGACCCGCTCTGCACCCCTGCTCGTCGCTCCCCCGAACCATCCAGCTTCAACCTGCGTTGCTTCCAGACCCACCTTAACCCGACCCGCTTTGAAGGAATTCCGCAGCAGGGGTCCCACTGCAGGTGTGACAAGCTCTAAACTTCCGACTGCATGTGTGGTAGTGTAGTGCATGTTCATGGATGTGTATGTAGTGGTGAGAATGGACAAAGGAAAAAAGGAAGGAAAGATCGTGCGTGCGGTCGTGGCCAGACCCCCGTCCCGCTGGCACACGCTTGCAGCCGCTCGGAGCGCATCCGCCTTCTTCCAAGAGCTCGTCCCGCTTCGTAAGCCCTTGAGTCTGTCCCCGACTCTCACCGCCCACCCACTCCTAGCCCCGCCCCTTACCTGTACCCCGCGTAAACTCCCTCTTCGTCTCTTTCTCTCGCTCTTTCTCTTCTTTCTCTCTCTTCTCCTCTCTCTCTCTTCTCTCTCTGTCTTCTCTCTCTCTCTCTCTCTCTCTCTCTCTCTTCTCCCTCCCTCCTCCTTTCACGGCAACGAGGCGTTGCCGTTATTAATCACCGGCCCCACCAGCACGCCGTGCGTACGCCAGCCCCTGCGCGCAAGAACAGTCTTTTGTCTAGTCGTCGGCTGGCGCAAAGCATGGGCAAGACGGCACTTGATCGGTACGTATGCGAGATCGATGATTTTCAAAACATCGATTTTATAAGAACATTTTTATAGAAACGATTTTTATAGTACCTATTGTCTCTTTTCCGGGCTTTGATGCGATGGAGAGACCATTTGGGGAATACCAGAATTCGAAAGATTAGAACGCGAGAGGATGTAGGTATGTAATGGCTTAAAGGTCTTGGCCTAGCCACATAGGATCAAGTAGCTAATTTGTTTGTAATAATTACCTATTAATAAAATAGAAACATCCATATATTCCCATATCCATTTATTGAAGTCGATGTTTTCCTCAAAATCAGTGTGTTGTGCGTCATAATTTGGTGTTTTTTAAAATAAAATATATGTGATTACCTCGTAGGTGATTCTTATTGGACATCCTCTTATTAAAGGATTGCTTTTTATTGTGATGAGGGCACTTTTCGTTTTTGATTGTAGGCCGAGGGTGGCGACTTAGGCCTTTATACCATCTGGGCAGGTGATTCAGTGGCGGTTTTCCATTGCCTTTCCACTGAATGAGAATTGCCCTCCTCTGATGGTCAGTACCATTCCCATATCTGAGCGGTAGGTGGGGAGGAAGCTTAGGCCTTTATGCCCTCCTCTCTCCCTGAGCAGGTGATTTCAGTGGTGCTTCACCTTTGTCTACCACTGAATAGAGGATTCTTCCTCAGATCATGAGTGTCATTTTAATTGCGTAGTGAGGAGAGGGCTTAGTCCTCTATGCCCTTCTCATTCGAGCCAGGTGATTCCGCATTGCCTCCCTCTGTATGAAGGATTACTTCTATGATAGTGATGTGGCGGACGTCAACTTGTTTCAGAGCGAAAGCGAGAGGGAATGTTTGGCGCTTGATAACCCCCTCCTTTTTGCTGTGTCTTTAGTTCTCATTTTTTCTCAGAATGATGCTGGAACTACATGACGGAATACTTGTAGCATCAGAATGAAATGGTAGCTCAGAGCAAATCTATTTACATATTAAAATTAAAAGACAGCTAAGCAACAAAGGTACCTAAGGTACAAATGCAAAAAGAAACACTCTTACGTTTGCACTCAAGCCCGCAATCTCACATATAAGCACGCTTTTCCAACCCTCTGTGCCACCGAGAAAGGCTTATAGGTATTGCAGTATATGTATGTGGTCGTGCGAAAAACCACGCGACATAAGGTGAAAACTTCCAAACTTACTCAGGATTCGAACAGTAGCCTTCATCTCTGCGTATACGTACGCTGCTCCAACGCTTTGGACAACTGAAGAAGGCATTAGATGTATTGCTTACTATGTAAATGGTGGTGTGAGAAACACACGTGTCATGTGTGAAAAAAACACTCCCAAATCTTACATAGGGTTCTGTTCCGAAGCATTTGCCTCCGCGTATTCTCACGCCCTTTTTGAACCGAGAGATACTATTTGCCCGTATTTTTTAAACTCAAAATAATAATATATAAATATATAATTATATATATAT